TTATGCACCGAGAATTCTTCCTAACAGTGAATGGCTCAGAAAGGCAACCTCGTCCCTGGGGGCAGTTAGCCTTGCAGAGGCCTGGGTGAGTCACAGTGGCTGTGCTGAGTGATAGGCGGTTCCAGCTCTGTGCCAGATGCCCAGGCTACATAACTCCCCGTGCGGCACTCCCTGCTCCCTGGTCCGTGGTTCAACTCCTTGGCTGCAAACTGTATCACTGTACAGGTTTAGGGGAAGAAATGTGGCAGATACAGAGAACCTTGCCCCCACCCCCTCCCCTGCTATCCCCTGTGCAGGGCCTATGGGGGTTCTAGAAGGGGCCTGTAGCTTTATGTCTCCCTGGTGCTCAGGGAGTGCCTTGCATATCAAAGGTAGTCAGTATCTCTCTGAACAGGGCAGGGAGATAAACATGGGTGGAGATGATAATTTGGTGAAATAGATAGTTCTGGGACTTATTTAGGGCTTTCAGAGGTAAGGCTTTTCTGTCAAGCACTAGAAGCTGGTTTGGATGATCTGGGTTCTCACTAAGGTCTTACTGCTACCCAGCTAGTTGGCTTTGGGCAGATTACTTTCTGTCTTTGTTCTGGGGGTGAGAGGATGATTTGATCCTTAAGAGTCTGCAATTCAAAGCTTAACGCAACTGGGTAAAGAAAGCTGACTTTTGAAAAGGAAGAGATCTCTGGGCTTTTCTGGCTCCCAGCAAGAATTGCCACAGGGTCTTGGGATGGACACCTAGTCAGATGATCTGTGCTTCCTAGGACCCCGGAGGAGGTGGTCATGAGTTTGTTCATTACCAGCAAGATCCAGCCAATACCCCCCACCCCCACCACTGCCTCTCTGAGTGGAAGCTTCTCTTACATCTAATTTTTCTGCTGGATTATATTAGTTTCCTGTTGCTTCTGTAACATATTACCACACATTTAGTGGCTTACAGCAACACAACTTTCATATCTTACAGTCCTGGAGGTCAGAAATCCAAAGTCGGTCTCCCTGGGCCAAAGTTAAGGTATCAGTAAGGCTGGTTCCTTCTGGAGGCTTTAGGGGAAATTCATTTCCTTGCCTTATGGCCCCTTCCTCCATCTTCAGAGCCAGCAGTGTGGCATCTTTGGTCTCTCACCTCTGCTTCTGTCCTCGTATCTTCTCTCCCAGACTCTGATCCCCCTGCCTCCATTTTATAAAGACTCTTGTGATTACATTGGGCCCAGGATAATCTCTCCATCTCATCACCCTTAACTTAATCACATCTGCAAAGCCCACTTTACCATGTAAGGTGCTGGCCGTGGGGCTTGATCCTATGACCTTGGGATCGTGACCTGAGTGAATTTGCAAGTCTGAGGCTCAACTGACTGAGCCACGCAAACACCCCCATAAGCAATTATTTTTAACACGAAGCCGGGTGTGCTAAGTGATGTAACAGTGACAGACTCAGATAGCAGGAATATAAGAAGGTGACATTAGTTCCAGCCATCATATGGCCCGATTTTCGGCTTAGAAATATGATTGTTATATGTACCTGAATTTTAGGTTATTAACTTTTGTAGGCTAAGGATTTTAGGGCTTTATTTTCTGCTTTCTTTTAATTTTTTTTTTTAATTTTTTTTTTCAACTTTTATTTATTTTTGGGACAGAGAGAGACAGAGCATGAATGGGGGAGGGGCAGAGAGAGAGGGAGACACAGAATCGGAAACAGGCTCCAGGCTCTGAGCCATCAGCCCAGAGCCTGACGCGGGGCTCGAACCCACGGACCGCGAGGTCGTGACCTGGCTGAAGTTGGACGCTTAACCGACTGCGCCACCCAGGCGCCCCTCTTTTAATTTTTTTTAATGTTTATTTATTTTTGACAGAGACAAGAGAGCAAGCAGGATGGAGGCAGAGAGAGAGGGACAGACAGAATCTGAAGCAAACTCCAGGCTCTGAGCTGTCAGCACAGAGCCAGACGTGGGGCTCGAACTCACTAACTGTGAGATCGTGACCTGAGCCGAAGTCGGAAGCTTAACCGACTGAGCCACCCAGGCGCCCCTCTTTCTTTCTTTTAAATAGGATGGTGTGTCTTTTCCTTTTTAAGCCTCTTTAGTTCAAAAGAGGTATCTGGCTCTGATGATTCATGCGAAATCGCTTTTGCTTAAGGCTGGTTAAGGTTGGAGACAATCTGAATTTGCTAGACACAGCAGATGTTGGGAAGAAAATCAAGTGAGACTTCTCATTTCATGCTGCATCTGAATGGGTAACTTCTGTAACCTGGGCCGTACTACAGAAGAGCACTTGTTTCTCGTGACTGACCTACAAATACCCAGCCAGGTTGGCTTTCCTGGTTGGAAAGACCATTCTTCCTCGTGTGTTCTTTCCGAGGCAAAGGGGCATCTCCTGTGAGAACTCCCTGCGGCCCAGAACACAGTTTTAGAAAATACAGCTGACTTCTCTGGGAAAAACAAAACCAACCTTGTCTTACTCTGGTCATGGAAACTAAGTTGGCACCTCATTATCGCCTTGTTAGCAGGGACTGACTATGTTGTGGACAAATCTGGTAGGAACGGTTGGCCCTGTGTGGGCAGGGTTTTGAGTTAAGCTTAATTGCTCTTCTAAAGCTCAGCTACTTAATACGACACAAGTAGAAATCTATCATCAGACTCTTGACCACCCTCCTTTCCCTTCATAGTCTCACCTACGCAGACAATTAGTGCCTCCCCACCTCTGCGGCTGCCATGATTTGTGCCTGGGCCACACTGGGGCCATCAAGGCTTGGCTGCACCCAGCACAACTACCCAGAGGAGGAAAGGTCTGTAATCACCTTTAACCGTGACTCCCCCAGGCCTCCAATATCTTCAAATGCAGTCAACCTGTTCTGTCCTGGGAGCACAGTAGGGCTGCCGGCTGGGTGAAGATGACGTCTCCTTAATGACTTATACAAGTTCTCGATTTCTCACAGAATGGGAAAGAGTAATCCAGAATCATTTTCATCTGGCTCTGACATGTATTTTGCACTTGTATTTGAATGTTGGTGTGCCTGATGTTCTGAGAACTCACTTCAGACAGAACCATGGAGCAGCCCATGAGGAGAGGGTGTCCTCAGGGATAGCCGAAGAACTGCATCCCTAACCACGTCTGCCCCTTCTCTTCTTTTCAAAGCCTGGCTAGGGTTTGAATCCCACACCTGTATTCACCAACAGTTGAGTGTTCACAGGAAGGTCACCTAATCTCTCTTGGCTTTAGATTGTTGCTTTGCAAATTTGGGGTGAACATTTTCTACCCCGGAGGACTGATGGAGATATCAAATGGGATGACAGGCTGAGCATTGATCACACAGGAGTATTGTGTGCAGTAAATGTTAGGCTCTCTCCTGCTCCCTTTCCTCCCTACCACCTCCACACTTCCTCCCTGCTCCCCACCTTTCTCTCAGAGCAGTGCAAAGTGCTGGCCTTAGCAGAAGCTCTCTTTCCTCACAATGTCTCCAAAGTGGGAGGGTTGTGACATGGCACACACTTTTCACATCTCCCCTTTTTTCCTCACCGTGTCCACTCCCAGACTCTTTTCTTTGTTCCATCAGACTTCTGTACAGAACCTATGACAGTGCGGACCTTGTCTGAAGTGTCCCTGCCTTGCAGTTTCTTCCCCATACTGAATGTATGACTGGGTTCTCCATGGTAATCCCAGTTTCAAATGCACAGTCCTGTTCTTCCCATTTTAACAAGTCCTGGGAATTCTAGTTCATCCACATTCCAAACACATTTCCCTGATTACCCACTACCCAGAAGGGGAGCTGAAGACGCAGAAAATGTGGTCTTACAAAAGGGCCCTGACAATGGTAACCACACATCCAATCTTATATTGGTCAAGAAAACACCATAACCAACCAACAGAGTTCCCATAACCAACCAATAGAGTTGCCATGAGAGGCACATGTCAGACAGAGCACCCCCACAATAAGCTTCTGTGAGAGCCTGCCACTGCTGACGACTTCAAATTCAGATTCTTCGCTTGCAATTTTTGTGTTATTCCTCGTGCCAGTTGGGTTTGAGGGTGGGTTGAAGGGACCTTGATTCTTGTTTTGGGATGTGAAATGAGGATCAGGATGAAAATATGTTTGGCACAAAAATGCACATGATATACTCTGGATGCAAGTTTGTAGCCTCCTTTTTCTTTCACTTCACATATAGACTATATGGATTTATTCCTGTTGCTAATTTTTTGTTGTTGTTGTAAACAGTGACTTGACCAAGTTCACAACCGTGTCTACCGTTGGCAAGATGGTGTGGGGCTTGAACGGAGAGAACAGATACCAAGGGGGATTTAGTGGGCTGGAATGTTTTCTATTTTAACCTTGGTGTTGGGTGTACTTTTTTGGATGGTCTTAAATATTACAGAGTAAAGTAGAAATTTACGATAGTAAATGGTTCCTTAACATCTTGTTATATAGGTATATCATTATGTACTTTGTTTAAACCCTCCCATCACCCCCATTATCAGATATTTGTAATTTTCAACTCTGGACTCTTGAATAATGTAGTATTATTAAACCTCTTTGGGCATCCAGTTATGTCTGCATTTTAGCTCATTTTCTTAGGATAGTTTTACAGAATTGAATTATTGGGTCAAAGAGTATGTTGTAATGAGGAGATATTACCAGACTATCTTTTAACAAAGTCACACAAATCTAGATTATCAATACCATTGTGTCCACTCCACCTTATCTTACCAGTCCTGAATGCTGTTACTAAAAAAAAAAAAAAATGCTATTTTTCTAGGCATAATTTTTTTTTCTGATGGTGATAGCTTGTATCTCTGATTAGCAGTGAGGTTGACCATTCTGTCATAAAATAATTTTTCCATCCAAGTTTTTAAAATGTTGACATGTATGCATGTGTACAGGCTTTTTGCAGACTCATATATAGGTGGGCCCTGGGTTTTATATGAGACGTGGGGACCACAGATGAGCAAAGAAAGAGCCCCTTGCTCCCTGGGTGAAAACTAGCTGTGCATCTAGACTTTTTGTGTTTCTGCAGTGCCGCCAAGCTCCTGGACAAGAACCCGTTCTCGGTCAGTAACCCGAACCCTCTGCTTCCTTCGCCCGCCAGTCTCCAGCTGGCCCAGCTACAAGCCCAGCTCACCCTCCACCGGCTGAAGCTGGCACAGACAGCTGTCACCAACAATACCGCAGCCGCCACGGTCCTGAACCAAGTCCTCTCCAAAGTGGCCATGTCCCAGCCTCTCTTCAACCAGCTCAGGCATCCGTCTGTGATCAGCGCCCCCCAGAGCCATACGGGGGTTCCTCAACATGCTGCGGCCATGCCCAGCGCCCGGTTTCCCTCGAATGCCATTGCCTTCTCACCCCCTGGCCAGACGCGAGGCCCGGTACCCTCTGTGAGCCAACCCCCCAATGCCGTGGTGATGCATCCTTTCAGTGGAGTCCTGCCTCAGACCCCTGCCCAGCCAGCAGTCATCCTGGGCATTGGCAAGACTGGGCCTGCCCCTGCTGCGGCGGGATTCTATGAGTATGGCAAAGCCAACTCCAGCCAGGCATATGGCTCTGAAACAGACAGTCAGCCCAGCTTCCTGCCAGCCACGGCCTCTACCACGGGCAGTGTGACCTATGAAGGGCACTACAGCCACTCAGGGCAAGATGGCCAAGCTGCCTTTCCCAAGGACTTCTACGGACCCAACTCCCAAGGGTCGCATGTGGCAGGTGGATTTGCGGCTGAGCAGGCCGGGGGCATGAAAGGCGAGGTAGGTCCGCTGCTGCAGGGTCCAAACAGCCAATGGGAGACCCCCCACGGATTCTCTGGCCAAAGCAAGCCCGATCTTACAGCAGGCCCTAGCCTGTGGCCTCCACCCCCCAGCCAGCCCTATGAGCTCTATGACCCCGAGGAGCCCACCCCAGACAGGACCCCTCCTTCTTTTGGGGGTCGGCTAAACAACAGCAAACAGGGTTTCAGCGGTGCCCGGAGGCGGGCCAAGGAGGAGCAGGCGATGCTGTCCGTGCGGCCCCTGCAGGCTCATGAGCTGAATGACTTTCACGGTGTGGCTCCCCTTCACCTCCCACACATCTGTAGCATCTGCGACAAGAAGGTGTTTGATTTGAAGGTGAGTCCTGCGAGATAGCCTGGGAGCCACCGCTGGAGCCTGGGGGTGCTCCCCGCCACAACCCTGCTCTTTGCTACTCAAGAGCGAGGAACTGTCACCTTCGGGGACTAGGTAGCAGCATTTTGCCATCAGTTCCCTTGATTAAAATTATAGGGGTTAGAACCAAAGTTCATTTCAGAAATGTATCAGGGCCAGTCCCTTGCTTTAAGGCAAGGAAGAGATTCTTTCCCATGTTTATGGATGAGAAAGCTGTGGCTGAGTCGGGGATCAGGTGACCCCACCTGGGTGACAGAGAAGGGACTCAAGGCCTGGTCTCCTGCCTTCTTGAGGAGGACTCTTCCTGCGAGGTATGCCCAGAGTACATTGTACTGAGTATGGAAGGGAAGGAAAACGCTGGAAGAATTTTGGATGAGGGCAAGAGAGCACCTCTCAGGTGAGATCTGGACACATTTTGTAGAGTGCCTCAGCTTCCCATCTGCAAGACGGAGGTGGGGCCTCATCATACCTTCCCAGTGGTTGTAATACGCTTTGGGCCCCTTAAGCAAAGGTTCATTATAGTATAAATCCACGCCCCCACCCCCCGCCAAAACGTGTTAGTGATGCAGTGGAATACTCCAGAGCAATAATGATTCGGACAGCTAACATATATTAAATCCTTTCCATATGTCAACAGTAATCCTGGGAGGTAGATACTATTATTATTCTCATGTTGCAGATGAGAAAACCGAGGCCCAGAGAGAGGAAAGGACTTGCCCCGGGCCCCATAGCTAGAGAGTGGCAGAGTGGAGATTCCAACGCGGGTCTGGCTCTCCCAGAATCGGTGCCACTTGAGCAGTGAGCTGTGCTGCCTCTCTTCTCTCATCCCATCTGCAGAGCATAGTGATCCCCATGTAATGGTAGTCACACCACAGTGTGTCCTTCACCTCTGCTTGGGTCACGTTGTGCAGGTGCATCCCTGTCACCCACGGGGAGGGGGCTGGGTGACACTGGGAGGCGATGGCGGATTTTGTCTCATAAGCGTTTCTTAAGGCTTTGCAGCCCAGATTTTCCCAACCAGACGTAGAAATGGGTGGTGTCTCTCTGGGGGAGGAGGGAGGGAGTGGGAGGTGGGAGGTGCCATGGGACTAAGGGTGCCCGGAGAGAGGAGGAGAGAACCCGACTTGGGATTCTGGGCTTCTGTCCACGATGAGCAAGGGATATGCGGGTCTGGCCGATGGAGTGAGGGCTAGATGGGAAGGCAGGTGTGGAGAGGAGCCAGGAGGGAGAGGAGGAGCGGAGGGAGACGTGTTTGCATGGTTGGTCCAGTTTCTGGGCTCTGAGCCTCCTGCCTGATGGGGAAGCCTGCACTCATCCCTTACCTTCTCATGGACTCAGTTCTGCTTCAGTCATTTTTCCTTTCCTTCCGGTTTAGGACTGGGAGCTGCATGTGAAAGGGAAACTACACGCTCAGAAATGCCTGGTCTTCTCTGAAAAGTAAGTGCTGGCCGAGAGAACAGGTCCGTGCGTGTGTTCAGCAGGTAATCATTGAGCACCTACTGTGTGTCACATTCTGTTTTAGGTGCTGGGGAAACAGGGAACAAAACAGGAAAATGACCCTGTCCTCAAGGAGCTTATACTTAACGGTGGGGGTTGGGGGGCGGGAAGCAGATGATAAAGAAAATAAGCAAGTGAATTATATAGCATCCCTGGTGGTAAATCCTAAGCAGAAAACAGCGTCAGGGCAGGGGCAGGAAGCGTGTGTGTATACACGTGTGCACTTGCAGGGGCTGGTTCTTGCATTTTATTTTATTGCTTTTTTTTAAAGTTTATTTATTTTGAGAGAGAGAGGAGGGCAGGGGCAGAGAGAGAGGGAGAGAATCCCAAGCAGGCTCCCCGCTGTCAGTGCGGGGCTTGATCCCACGAACCATGAGATCATGACCTGAGCTGAGATCAAGAGGTCGGACGCTTAACCAGCTGAGCCACCCAGGAGCCCCTGGTCTTTAAATAGGGTGGCCGATGGGGCGCCTGGGTGGCGCAGTCGGTTAAGCGTCCGACTTCAGCCAGGTCACGATCTCGCGGTCCGGGAGTTCGAGCCCCGCGTCAGGCTCTGGGCTGATGGCTCAGAGCCTGGAGCCTGTTTCCGATTCTGTGTCTCCCTCTCTCTCTGCCCCTCCCCCGTTCGTGCTCTGTCTCTCTCTGTCCCAAAAATAAATAAACGTTGAAAAAAAAATTTTTTAAATAAATAAATAAATAAATAAATAAATAAATAGGGTGGCCGAGGAAAGGCCTCAGTGAGGACACCTCAGGAGGTGGGGAATGAGCCCCTGGCTGTCTGGTGGACATGTACCCCCAGCAGAGGGAACAGCAAGTTGGAAACTTGATGTGGCTTTGGGATGCTCAGGCAGCAGCAGTGTGACCAGAGCAGAGTACTGGAGTGAGGAGCCAGAGACGTGCCAGGGCCCGGTCCTGAGCTCCTGGGCTTGTTGTGAGGACTTTTGTTTTGCTTTGAGAGTGAGGGCTGAACAAAGGAGTGGTGCCCTCTGGCTCCACTGAGCAGGGCCTTGGCTGCTGGGCTGAGAATAGACAGGAGCGGGTTGTGGGCAGACCAGTAAGCAGGGGGCTGTGGTAACGCGGGCCGAGAAGAGGTCACATGACCTAGGGTGTGACCAGCCGGCTGGAGTGAAGTGATCTGAAATGAGCACATTCCAAAGGCTCCCCTTTCTTATTCACAATAACCAGTGGGTGGAAGTAACCCAAATGTCCACCGACAGATGAATAGGTAAACAATGTGTTATATCCCTACGCGGGAATATCATTCAGCCTGATGAAAGTGACTTCTGACACATGAAGCGACACATGGCTGAACCTTGAATTGAGGACATTGTGGTCCATGAGGTAAGCCAGTCACAAACGGACACGTACTGGATGATTCCGCTTACAGGAGGAGCTGCAAGAGTCAGAAAGTAGAATGGTGGCAGCCAGGGGCTCAGGCAGGGGAAGAGGGGTGTTTGTTTTCTAGTGGGGGCAGTTTCCGGTTTGCAAGACGAAGAATCCTGGACTTGGACGGTGGGGACGGCTGCACAACAGTATGAGTGTGCTTCATGCCCCTGAACTGTACGCTTAGAAATGGTTACGATGGCAAATTTTATGTATATTTGATCGCAACTCAAAAACTAATTTCATAAGGGTCTCCCTTTTCCGGCTCCCTCTTTTTTTTGTTGCGGTAAAGGTCACGTAAGACTCACCATTTTAACCAACTTAGGGTACAGTTCAGTGGTATTTAGCAGAGTCACAAGGTTGTGCAGATATCATCACTATGTGGTTCCCGAACATTTTCATTACCCCCGAACCCCATACCCGTTAAGTGCTCATTCCCTTTCCCCCTCCCTTGTAGACTGGCAACCACTAATCTGCTTTCTGTCCCTATGGATTTGCCTCTTCTGGACACTTTGTGGAAATGGAACCATTTAATAATATGGCCTTTGATAGCTGGCTTTTTTCACTTAGCAAAATATTTTCAGGGTTCATCTATGTTGTGGTATTTACCACATTTTTATGGCTGAATAATATCCCATTATATGTATATTAACACGTTGTGGTTATCCATTCATCTTTTGATCTATATTTAGGTTATTTTTTCACCTTTTGGCTATTGTGAATAGTGCTAATATGAACATTCGTGTACAAGTGTTTGAACATTTTTTTTAAGTTCATTTATTTAGAGAGAGAGAGAGAGAAAGAGAGAGCATGGGAAGGGCAGAGAGAGAGAGAGAGAAGAAGAGGATTCTAAGCCACTGAAGGGCTTTATCTCATGAACTGTGAGATCATGACCTGACCAGAGATCAGGAGATCTCTGACTAGAGATCAGAGATCCCAGATGCTTAACCGACTGAGCCACCCAGGTGCCCCTGAACATTTATTTTTAACTATTTTGGGCCTTTGGCTGGGAGTGGAATTTCTGGGTCCTATGGTAATTCTTCGTTTAGCTTACTGAGTTACTGGTTCCCCTTTTCCACCTCTCTCCAGTGCTGGCATCCGGTGTATACTCGGTTCAGCAGAGGGAACGCTGGGTGCCTCTCCCAACAGCACAGCCGTTTATAATCCTGCTGGGAACTCTGAAGGTGAGTAAGGCCCTTCAGGTCAGCCACTTGAAGCAGAAACCAGCTTCCCAAAGGCTTACTATGTCACATCCTTAATAGCCAAACTTCCCTGATGTGCCGTGTGTGTGTGTGTGTGTGTGTGTGTGTGTGTGTGTGTGTGTGTGTATAGCAGACAGATCCCAAGACACTAAAATGTATTGGCCTACGCTCTAGGCTCTTAGAGACATAAAGCTTTGTTGGTTACCAACATGCCCAGGGGTAAAATCACACCAATCACTAATCAATGTATTGAGAGGAAATTTTAATTTTTTTCTTCCAATTTACATTCTAATCATGACTTTTTTTAAAAAAATAAAGTTTATTTATTTTGAGAGAGAGAGAGAGAGAGAGAGTACAAGTACGGGAGAGGGAGAGAGAGAGAGGATCCCAAGCAGAGTCTGCACTAACAGGGTGGGGCTTGAACTCAAGAACCACGAGATCGTGACCTGAGCCGAAACCAAGAGTCGGATGCTTAACCAACTGAGCCACCCAGGTGCCCCCATCTTAATCATGATTTTTGAAGGTAAAGCAAATGACTAGGATTTCACACACTTGGTGTAATTTATCATTTAGATTATGCCTCAAACCTTGGATCATCGTATGCGGCCATTCCAGCAAGGTCATTTGCTCAGTCAAATCCTGCATTTCCTTCGGCTTCCCCGGGGACAAACGTGAGTACAGAAGCATGTTCTCCACTGTCATAGTCATCATCAAAGCATTTGTGTCACCCGCTATTCCTGGGTGTAGAGGTGCAAAGGATGCTGGGATGAAGTTGGCACAGATGTGGCTTTGTGTAGGGCAGGAAACTGTGTCCTGTGGGCAGAGGTCAATGGGTGTTTTCTTCAGTCCAGCTAGCATTGAAACACACACACACAAAAAACTGACATGCGTTGTTAAAATCGAAAGCACACACAGACTTTCTAGCATTCAGCATTGGTTTAAGGGGGAAAAAAGGTTTGAGCTTTTGTATGTATGTGTGTGTGTAAGACTTTTTGCTATTTTATTCATGTGGATTATTTCCCATGATGGGTAATTCTGGAAGTTGAACCAGAAAGAGAAAATGTGTTTGAAAGTAAGGACCATGCAGTGATGGGATTTGTTGGCCCCTTGGGGAAATAGTTGCTTCTGTGAAATCCTTGTTTTTAGTTGTGTTTTCATTTCTCTCTCTCTACAACATGCTCTCCAGTCCCTCAAAACTCAAAAGCTTCATTCCCCCTTTGCCTACTTATTGTGATAATTTCCCTTTCCTCTTGGTTTTTCTGTTTGGTCACCACATGTAGCCTCTTCCCCCAGAAGCTTCTACTCCAGAACACGTGGAGGGAGGTGGGAGAGGCAGAACCAGAACCGACCGTGAAACAAAATGTGTGGCCCAGCCCTGCCAGAGGGCGCGTGTCTGTGTGTTCGTGGCCATGCCTGGATTTCTTCAGTTTGTGGTGCAAGCAGTTGTAGCCTCTTTCTCCTCATGCGACGAGTGAGCATGAGCTCGAGTGCCGTCCCCTCCACGTGTGGGGGTGTTCATGCAGAGCTTCGGAAGGGCAGGCTGAGAAGTGTAGGCGTTAGGCCCCCCCGGGGATGAGTGAGTGGGGAGGCCTGCCTGGGCGGAGATTTCTGTTTGCGTGTGTCTGGCTGTGTGTGATGTTTAACGGGAGAAGCGCCCTGAGACAGAGCTCTGGGCTGGAAGCCCACGCACGTTTTGGTGAAAGAGAATTTTGTGGTTTCCCTCTCTGTGCTCACCGCGCTGAGAGCCACGCCCAATCGGTGCAGCTTTGGGTCAGTCCTGGGAGGGTAGTAAGGCCTGTCATTTGTCTTTGACCTTGTGTCTGGACAGGGGTGTGGGCGGCTCCAGCACCACCCCCACCCCGGTGTCTGTTTCCCACTGTGGCGTGTCTGTGCCCAAAACCCTGCTCTGAGATCTTAGCACGGAGGGGAAGGGGACTGTGACCAGATGGGCAGGCAGTGAGAGGTGGGCCAGGGATCTGGGCAGGGAAAGAGAGCCGATGTCCACTGAGCCCCTTTGTAAAGGGGAAGGGACTGAGCAGCAGAGGAGAAGCGAGAGCAGGACGACTCCCCTGCGTGTGTCCCGTGCCCCAACCCCACCCTCCAGCACTGACCAGGGAACAAGAAGCCCTTTCTTGCGGATGTGGAGCCAAGAGACCTGAGTTCAAACCCTACTCTGGAGCACACAGGCTCTGTGGCTGCGGGCAAGTCACTTCATTACGCTGAGGCTCCCTTTCAAATGGGGACAATAACTCCCCTAATAAAGACTTTTGAAAGTAAAGCAAACAGCTGCGTTCTTACCAGACTTGTGTAATTGACCGTTTTGATGATGCCTCAAATCTCGGAACACTCACACCATCCGAGCAGAGCCTCCTGATGGGTGTTCAGAGCCCAAAGGTGGGAGCGAGGCTGAGGGCAGACCAAAGCGGTCACGAGGACTGAACGTGACACGGATGGACGGTGACGTGCTAGCTGCACAGTGTGTAAGAAGCACCGATGGCTGTTACTAAGCAGCAAATCCTTTTAACCGCTTGTGGGAACCTGTCCTGTCCCAGGCCACGTCGTCACGTGACTGCCCCACAGCCATGGCCGGCCCAGGGGAGAACCCCTGTGACCTTGGGCAAGTCTCAGTATGTGGTGTTTCTCCTGCACAGATCTGTCTGGTAATTCCTGTGGTCATGTCTGCTTCCTCTAGAGACATGGCCAGGCTCCCATGGAAGCACTCTTCTTCCTCATGCCACAGGCACAAGCGATCTGATGATATGTGTTGATAATGATTCACGATAATTCGTGTTAATACTCGGAAGCTCTGAGTGCAGCTTCCTCCAAACGCCTGGAGATGGGAGTTCATCCGGCTTGAGCCTGAGGAGGAGCAACACAAGGAACACTTTGCTTTCTGCACTGGCAGCCAGCAGGAGATGGGGACCTCAGGGCATTGTAGGCTGATGCTGATGACGATGGCTAACATTTATACAGTGCTTACTAATTTCTTAGCATCTTCGTTTGTATTTTCTCATTTAATCCAGACAACCCTGTGAGGTGGGGAAACCAAGGCACAGAGAGACTAAGTGCTTTGCTTAAAGTCTTATAGCTGATGGCTTTAATGGAAGTGCTGGGATTTGAACCCAGGTGACCTGACTCTAGATGCCTCCCTTGTAACCATCAAGCCCTGCTGCTGCCTTTTGAGGGTTTCTGAGTTTCCTTCCTTGCTATGAGTCTCTCTTTAGTGAGCCCACTCCTCTCCCCTCTATCCACTTCCACTCTACACGCTGCTCAGTGGGATCTGAATCTGCCTTGAGGATGGCAGTGACTTCTCGGGCCTCAGCTAGACATCAGCCATGGAGCAAGGCAAGGAGACCAGTGAGACCTGGCACCCAAATTCTGTACTGTGACAGTGTCCCCCAAGATGAGCTGTTTGGAGACATTTTCTACAGATCCAGTGAAGGGGAGAGTCGTCACCTGACTGGTCTTATAAGTTCTGTGAGGTCTTGTTCGTCACATGAGCCTTCCCCAGGACATCTAGGGGACAAGAACAATGGCTGCCCCAACCAGTCCCTGTATCATCAGTGCCTGGATGGGCACATTCTTCTACCTGATTCTGGTCCGTCGAATGCACTTGTGTCTGTCTTTAGGAGAACTGGAAATACACGAATACTGACATTTGAAGAGAAGCTGAGAAGTGAAGAGCTGATTAATTGGCTACAGAAAGATACTTTGCAAGGCTCGGTTAAGTAGCAGGGGAGACCTTCGGAGAAATTATTGATTCTTTTTTCTGCCTACAAGTCCTGACCTCCAAAGATAAACGAATACATCAAAGGGTAATTACTCTGTTACCAAAAGACACTTTGTGAGGTTGGAGGAGTGGCCAGTGGGCTCCTTTTGCATATACATCTCTACTCTTTTTTCTGCTTGCATAATTCATACTCTTTGTGAAAATTCAAATGGATAAGAAATATTTCATGAGGACAGGGAAAATTCCTCCATTATCCCCCTCCCAGCCCTCATACAAAACCCATAAAAGCTTTGATGCATTTTTTCCTCCAGAAATGTTTTCTGGTTCTGTGCCAGGCTTTTTCGGTCCCATTCTACTTACAGACATCTTTTCAGAAACGCATTTGGTTGAGTAAAGCCAGAACCAGCCAGGACTCCACCATTATAATATTTGTAGAGCAAAGAGCAGTTGCTGTCTCTAAAGCTCCCTGTTTTGAAGCAGGAAAACAAATCGACCCAGGGCTTTGGGAATGAGCTTTTAGAAGGTCTCTGCACTGCTACAAAATCTAAAAGCACCCAAAAACCCATCGACCACCTCCATCAACCCTAGGCTTGGCTGAATGTACGCTTCCGTCAGCTCCGTGGGGAGTGTGAGCCTTTCATTTCCGTGTTTATTGTTGACAGAGATGGGACACTAAACTGACAGTTGTATGCTGGGGGGAGGGGGCGACTTGTGTCTGTCCCTGCCACCCCAGGGTCCCCAGAGAGTGGTTTTCACTTTCACTTACGCTTTGCCATTTGACAGAGCAGAGGCACTTTATCCTTGGCTGCCTGAGTCGTCATAAACAGAGTAATCAGGTTTCTGGAAGGGGCCACTGGGGCCTTCTCAGGCTGTAAATAGTTTTCTCGTGCTTGCCCAAGATGCACTTTGCTTGCTGACTGTCCACATAAAATGGCATTGCCATTTTCACAGACACCTTGGAGTTTATTTAGTGCTGGTGCTATAGATGGGCTTCCCTAGCCTAGGAGGACAGACATCATTTTCATGTTTTCTTTCTCACTGGGACCCTGCACACTAGAAAACTTGTATAAATCAGGAAACTGAGGCACAGGGAAACATAAATGTTTGTGGAAGGCCAGAGGTTTAAGTCATAGGTTGCCCCTCAGATGGCTGGCTGTTTCTAGAACTTCTCTCTGTCTGTCCATTCTGGCCTTCCTGGTCCATGGCTCAGATCACTGTCATCTCCTGACTTCCATCCAGAGAAACATGAAGAGCAGTAATTGATGTGGCAAATGATACCGGCCCTTCCCCCACGATTCCAGCTCTGTCATTGCTCTCCTCCCCTTGTGCATTTTCAAAGAGCAAAGAGAGAGAGGGAAACAGGACACCTGAATGGGTTTTGTTTTCTGGGTTTATTTCCTTTTCTTTTTACAAATCTTAAGTATTTTTCTTGTTGCAAAAGTAGTACAAACATGGTATAAGAAATCCAAACAGTAACAGAAATATTTAAAAAATGGAAAATCTTAGGGGCGCCCGGGTGGCTCAGTTGGTTAAGCGTCCGACTTCGGCTCAGGTCATGATATCGCAGTGTGAGTTCGAGCCCTGCGTCAGGCTCTGTGCTGACAGCTCAGAGCCCGGAGCCTGCTTCAGATGATATGTCTCCCTCTCTCTCTGCCCCTCCCCTGCTCATGCTCTGTCTCTCTCTCTGTCAAAAATAAATAAACATTAAAAAATTTTTCTTAAAAAAATGGAAAATCTAGCCGTATAGAGAGAATTGACTGTCTTATACTATTTATCTCTAGCTGGTGTACATGTCCATGTTTAACTTTTAAAAGTATAGGGGCACCTGGGTGACTCAGTCAGTTAAGTGTTCCAATTCTTTTTTTTTTTTTTTTAAGTTTATTTATTTTGAGAGAAGAGAGAACACAAGCAGGGGAGGGGCAGAGAGAGGGAGTGAGAGAA